TTCTGCGGAACCGCTTCTGCGGTCCATTTCCGCAGAAGCGAGAACACCAGACACCAGACCCTTCAGCAGTCCTTAAACTCCAAATTTCATCCCGTTAGCCATCCGAAATCACCCCAAGGCCCCCGGGACCTCAACCAAAAACACCAAAATATCCTAAAACATCATTTAAACTTGTTCCAATCATCAAAACACCTCAAACAACACTAAAACCATCGAATTCGAGCCTAAGTTCTTCAAAAACTTCCGAAATGCACTTCCGATCAAAAACCCGACCAAACGATGTCCGAATGACCTGAAATTTTGCGCACACATCACCAATCACATAACGAAGCTACTGCAACTCTCGGAATTCCATTCCGACCCTCGGATCAAAATCTCACCATCAACTAGAATTCGCCAAAATACTAACTTCGCCAATTCAAGCCTAATTCTACACCGGACTTCCAAAATAAATTCCGATCACGCTCCTAAGTCACAAATCATCCCCCGAAGCTAACCGAATCACTGGAAATCACATCCGAGCCCTCTAACTCAATAGTCAACATCCGGTTGACTTTTCCAAACCAAACCTTCCTTAAAGACACTAAGTGTCTCATTTTCTACCAAAACCAATCTAAATCAACTCTAACACACCAAATACTGATAATGAAACATGAAGAAGCATAAAATGGGGGAAACAGAGCGGTAATTCATGAGACGACGGGTCGGTCGTCACATCCTCCCCAACTTAAACAAATGCTCGTCCTCGAGCGTACCTAGAGTTGTACTAGAAGCCAACCAATAGCTGAATGACCTTACCAAGCATACACCCGGGGTGATCCCACGTCACCCTATCTCGCATAGGTCCGATAATACAACATAGCTGAAATCTCACAATTCGTCTAGACCATAAACCGTAGAACCACATTGCACTTTCCGAAATCATACGCAAGATCAGAACCTCACATCTATATTCAGAATAAACCCGAACCAGCAGTAATAACCCATACCTGCAACCTCAGGTGCAATCATATGATATACTACATAACCCAAACACTCGAAACGATAACTTCTATTCACAGCAGTTGCCCACAACACCCGAATACCGGTAGAAAATCTCTTATCTACTAAGGTCTTATTCCAACACTTTCATATACTGCCAACGATAAATGAAACACACAATAAAGCGTAACCATTTCTCAGATCAACCATTCATGAAGCCACTTCCCTATTGACTAATACCACAGCAGATTCCGAGCCGAACCTCGATATTATCCTTCCAACAAGCTGAAATCAAATCCGTTCGTATTCATTAGTGACCCCAACGATCGTCTCGAATCCAACACACCACTCTGGTGATATGACACCTCAATACAGACCTAAGCCACAACTTGCATAATACGCGCACCAATAAGAAACGATCTGAATATACTCACCTCATGAAAATGACTCAAACGAAAGAGCTGTACCTCAAGCTCATCAATACCATCACCACACAAGGCTGAGACCCCGTCTCACATCATAGAAATAGAACACCTGAATCTACCCCGAAAGGTCATAACCAATACTCCATTTACCGAGCAACACCCAATTACTCTTCCCGCTCGACTTTCACTATGAATCCCCAATAGAACCGCACCACATGTGCCCATAACCAACAAATCATAACGTCTCGCAACACCGAAAAGCAACTCATAGACCTCCCCAGATCATTAACAAGCTCACTAACGATCGAATCAACCTATCCCCTAACAATAAAATTTCGGAGCCAACCAAGCCGACTCAAGCTAAACAAGTATCCACATCGGCCTACCAACGAACTTATTACCAAGAAGCCTGAAGCTGCTCCTTCCACTACTATAACTCCTACCGGAGCCGTACGATACGTGCCCGGCACCAAATCAATACCGAAATCCACAACCTCGCCCGGCGACATGCCCGGCCACAAGAAACGCATCCGAAAAGTNAAAGCCCACCGCAGAAGCGGAAACAGCTGGGCAGAGGGGTTCATTTAATTCGAACCCAAAGCCATTTTTATCATTTCTCACTCTACACTTAGGCGATTTGGGTGCTTCCAAGAGAGGGTTTCCACATAGCTTGGTAAGGTAAGTAATTTTCCTTCATCCTTAGCTTAAATACATGCGTATTAGGTAGATTAAACACAAAAAATTAAGCAAAAATCAAGGGTTAGAGCTAGACCTAGGGTTTTAATAAAACTAAGATTTAATCATGTAATTTGCCATGTAACGAACTAGAAATCATATATTTGTGATCCTTAGGTGATAGAGAACAACTTCCTTCAAAAAATCTCGGAATCCGGGCACGTGGGCCCGGGGTCGGAATTTAGGAAACTTGTGGGAAAGGTTGGGAAATCACTTAAATAGTTAGAATTCAACCTTGTAAGCATTTATTGACTAGTTCTTACTTTATTTTAATTAGTTTGTGCTCGTTCGGCTACGAATTGAGGGTTTGGGCTTGTTCTTGATATTGGAAGTGTGCTTCGGAGCGAGGTGAGTCTCCTTTCTAACCTTGTAAGAGGGAATTGTCCCCATAGGATTATAAATGAGTAATTATTGCTAAATGCGGGGGCTACGTACGTACTAGGTGACGAGAGTCCGTGCGTAGCTACTATAATGTTAATTGTTTGGGTAGTTTAGGACCCACATCATGCCTAATTGGGGAACATCTATTATTTTTATTGCCAATATGATCATTTATGATTTTCTAGAGACTTGAGGGAGTGAAAAGTGAACATGTGAGCTTGTTGAGCCTTGGTAGGAGTTTCCTTGTATATAAATGAGCCTTGTGTGCATTCTTGATATTTTTCTTGATAATTATGGATCGGGCCGATCGCCTCGGTGAGAATAGATGCATCTATGGTTCGGGCCGTTCGACCCTCGGCAGTGCACAATTTATTTTCTGTTGGAGCGGGTCGTCGACCTCGGCATGATTGCGCATGATATATATGCTTAAGTTTAGACATGACATGATTACTTGTTAAGTATGAAAAAGGGAAAATGGTAATTGAATTATGGTCAAGAACATGAATATAACTTTTCTTTTAAACTTGTGTCATTGGAGATCCTTCATGCTGTATATCTCACATTATTATTATATTATCTTGACCTTAGTAAGTATCAAGTCGACCTCTCGTCTCTACTTCTTCGAGATTAGACAGGATACTTACTGGGTACATGTTATTTATGTACTCATGCTACGCTTCTGTACTTAAATGTACAGGATTTGAGGCAGGTGGATTTGGACATCATTCTGGTGCGCATCAGTGAGCACGCTTGGGACTTCTACGGTGAGCTGCTTCTCTTTCATGCCGATCCGCAGCCGAAGAAGTCCTTCCTTGTACTTTTGTTTCTGTCTATCCTGATTCAGACAGTAGGATAGTGTATTATTCTTTTGTGTATATTCTACTAGTCGCCCGTAGCTTGTGACATCAGGTTCTGGCACACACAGTAGTAGACATTTATTTTTGGGTTGTATTGTTATTTTGATACATTATGATCTTTATTGTTCTTACCTTTAATTCGAAAAATCTATTATAATCGTCTTGGGTTAAAGTAAAATTAGAATCTAATCACATTTCCGCATCGGCTGGCCTGACAATGGTGTCGGGCGCCATCATGACCTATTATGAAAAGTGGATCGTGACAACATGGTATCAGAGCACTAGGTTCACGTAGGTCTCACAAGTTATGGGCAAACCTAATAGAGTCTTGTAGATTGGTACGGAGACGTCTGTATTTATCTTCGAGAGGCTATAGGGTATTAGGAAAGACTACTCTTTATTCGTTTCTATCGTGCAGTTGTCAGTGTACTAAATTTCCTCTTCTATTCTCTCACAGATGGTAAGGACCCGTACCGTCGACGTTCCGGACCCAGGAGGAGCTGCTCCCCCCATTGCCAGAGGCCGAGGTAGAGGCCGGGGGAGGGCACCGGCCCGTGGTAGGGGACGAGGGCATCCCAAAGCTATTCCAGTTGCGCCACCAGCAGATCCTGCGAGGGATCCCATTATTGAGGAGCAGGGCGAGGTGCGCGCAGTTGTGCCTACTCCGGTGGACTTCATGACAGCATCGGTATTCCAGGAGGTCATGGGCCGCATGCTTCGGTTCATGGACACTATGACTCAGGCTGGTATATTTCCAGCAGATCCAGCTACCTCACAGGCAGGAGGGGGAGCACAGACCCCTACCGCACATGCCCCAGGTCATACCGCCGTAGTTTATCATACTCCGGGTGCACTACCCACGGAGGGGGTTCAGCCAGTTGCTGCAGCGGCACCCCAGCCCAGGCCAGATGTGGACGATGATCCGCAGAAGTTATTGGACAGATGGACCAGGTTGCACCCTCCAGTCTTCGGGGGTGAGCGTCATGAGGATGCTCAGGATTTCATTGACAGGTGCAGGGATAGACTGCACAACATGAGGATATTAGAGTCGCATGGAGTCGACTTCACTACTTTTCAGCTGGAGGGCAGGGCCCGTAGATGGTCGCAGTCTTATGCACTTAGCAGGCCAGCAGGCGCTCCTCCCCTCACTTGGGGTCAGTTCACTCAGTTATTCCTTGATCGGTACATTCCACCCTCTGAGAGGGAAGAGCCGCGTCATCATTTTGAGCATTTGGAGCAGGGTCAGATATCAGTGACCGATTATGAGGCGAGGTTCTTTGAGTTGTCTCGCCATTCACTTATGATACTCCCTACAGAAGCAGAGAGAGTTCGGAGATTTGTTGCGGGGTTACACCCCACTATCCGGTCAGGTATGGCCCGAGAGGTAGAGATGGGCACAGGGTATCAGCTAGTATTGGAGATTGCTCACATGATTGAGGGTTACCGTCCGAGGGGCAGAGACCAGATGCAGCAAGAAAAGAGGGCCAGGTTCTCCGGAGAGTTCAGGGGTGCCCCAGGTAGGGGCAGAGGTCAATTCGGGAGGGGTCAGCCCAGCAGACCACCATATTCAGCACCACCACCCCCTCCCCGAGGTGCCCCAGCTAGGCCTTATTTTAGTGCGATGCCGGAGAGTTCTTACCGCCCACCAGCCATTCAGGGTCCTTCTGGCGGGCATTCCAGTTATCAGGGTTCTTCCAATGCTCACTCCAGTGCCACACCAGAGAGTTCGTATCGCCCACCGTCCATCCAGGGGTCTTCTGGTGGGTATCCGGGTCAGCAGGCCCAGACTTCAAGGTATCAGACTTCGGTGCCGAGAGGATGTTACGAGTGTGGAGATCCGGGTAATATTAAGAGGACTTGTCCCAGACTTCGGGGCAAGGCGGTGCAGCAGGGTCAGCAGTCCATGGATCCAGCACCAGCTGCCCAGCCATCTAGAGGTGGAGGGCAGACTGGTAGAGGCCGTCCCAGGGGTGGAGGCCAGACGGGGAGAGGTCAGCCAGCTACTACTCAGACAGGTGGGGGCCAGACAGCCGGTGCTCCGTCTAGATTCTATGCTCTTCCAGCCAGGCCAGATGCATTGGCCTTAGATGCCGTCTTCACAGGTATTATTTCGGTCAGCGGTAGGGATGCATCGGTATTATTTGATCCAGGGTCCACTTGTTCATATGTATCATCTCTGTTTGCTCGTTTCCTGGTTATTTCTCCTGAGCCTTTGGGTGTTCCTGTTCATGTGTCCACTCCGGTGGGTGATTCTGTGGTTGTGGANAATGAATATTCACAAGTAAAAATAACAATTTAAATGCGGAATCTCTGAAATAATTTCTAACCTCCGAAAACCCCAAAATAAAATACTAATTAGCCCACAGATTTGGTGTCACGAACATGAGCCTCTAATACAAAATATTCAACTAATCACAAGTCTGTCTAGGAAAGAAAATATGAATAAAAGGATAAAGATAGATGGGAGAGATCAAGGCTGCAAACGCCATGCAGCTACCTCGATACTCCCGGATAAACGCTGCTCAGCCAACAATTCCTCACTCACCCTGTGGTGTACCTGAATCTGCACACAAGGTGCAGGGAGTATTGTGAATACTTCCAACCCAGAAAGTAGTAAATATAAATAATGTCTGAGGATAATAAATCCCAAATAAACACAAGGTAAAGCTATAAAACAGTAAAACAGCGAGGACAATTACAATAATACCACAACAGATAAAGAATAAATGACAATTAAAATATGCAATGCAACACATAAAGCGGTACTCACCAGTACCCCGCTGCGGCCGTGCAGCCCGCTCCATTTATTTAACGTCGACGGCGCTCACTGGGGGTGTGCAGACTCCGGGAGGGGCCCCTTACGGCCCAAGTGCAATAATAAGCCATATCGTGGCATCAAACAGGCCCTCGGCCTCATATCAATATCAATATCATACCACTGCGGCGTGCAGTCTGATCCCATACTCAGTCCAAAATCACATAAGCCTTTCGGCACAATACTATAAAAAATATTCAACCCAAACTTCATTTAAAAATATTACTTTAGTTTCTACTTTTAGAAAAATGGCTGAGTTTACAAAAACAGTGTTAAATACCAGGACTGAGTTCAATATCTAGAAATATGGTAAGAAACCAGTAAAAATAATCCCTGAAGGATTCACGTAGTTGGCACGAAGCCCAATTATGACAATTAATCCATTTTTATAAGGATATCACAAAACTACAATCAATTAGGTAGTAATTTTATTAAGCGGGACGGACCAAGTCACAATCCCCGATGGTGCTCTACCCCACGCTCGTTATCCGGCGTGCAAGTCACCTCACATAGCACTACGATGTGCAAATTCGGGGTTTCAAACCCTCAACACAACATTTACATTTATTACTAACCTCAAGCCGGCCAAAGTCCTAGCTTGCTATGCCCTTGCCTTTCGAATTCACCGCTTCATGCGTCGAATCTGACCAAAATCACAACGAATACGTCACAATATGCTAAGGGAATATAACCCAATCGAAAAGACTCGAAAAACATCAAAAATCACGAAGTTGGCAAAACCCGAGACCCGGGCCCACTTCTCGAAAAATTATAAATTTTACATCACCGGGTTCCTTATCTCGCCACGAGTCCATGCATATAAAGAACACCAAAATCGGAGTCCAAATGACCCCTCAAACTCCCATTTTTGTTCTCTTAGGTTTCAAGCCCTAAACCACCATTTTTTTGACATTAATTCCTTGAGTTTTCAGTGTAATTTTCATGTATTTGCATGATAAAATTGTGTTCTAAGTCCAAGAATGCTTATCTGATCGAAGTCCTTGAATTTCCTCTTCAAAATCGCTCAAGAACACCCCAAGTCCGAAGTTAAAAATATGTTTCTGTAAAACATCGCGAAGCGATTAAAACCCACCTCTGATCAGTTATTTCCGCTTCTGCGGTGCCTTTGTCGCTTCTGCGACTACCGCATCTGCGGTCACTTTCCGCTTCTGCGGAATCTCACTTATTGCCTTGGACCGCTTTTGCGGTCACTAACCGCTTCTGCGGAAGCCGCTTATGCGGGAAATAGTCCGTTCCTGCGAAAATCTCCAAAATGCCCAACCTCGCTTCTGCGACTCCTCATACGCTTCTGCGGTCCAAAATTCCGCAGAAGCGAAAATACCAGATACCAGACCACTCAGCAGTCCTTAAACTCCAAATTTCATCCCGTTAGCCATCCGAAATCACCCCGAGGCCCCCGGGACCTCAACCAAAAATACAAACATGATCCAATACCTTATTCATACTTGCTCCAATCATCAAAACACCTCAGACAACACTAAAACCATCGTTTCTCATCGAATTCAAGCCTAAGTTCTTCCAAAACTTCTGAAACACGCATTCGATCAAAAACCCAACCAAAACACCTCCGAATGACCTGAAATTTTGCACACACATCCCAAATCACCTAACGAAGCTACTGCAACTCTCGGAATTCCATTCCGACCTTCGGATCAAAATCTCACCTATCAACCGGAATTCGCCAAAATACTAACTTCGCCAATTCAAGCCTAATTCTACACCGGACCTCCAAAATCACTTCCGATCACACTTCTAAGTCACAAATCATCCCCCGAAGCTAACCGAATCGTCGGAATCCACATCCGAGCCCTCTAACTCATAGTCAACGTCCGGTTGACTTTTCCAAATCAATCCCTCCTTAAAGAGACTAAGTGTCTCATTTTCTTCCAAAATCAATCCAATTCAACTCTGTCACACCAGATACTGATAATGAAGCAGGAAATGGGGGAAACGGAGCGGTTCTCACGGGACGACGGGTCGGTCGTCATATCCTCCCCAACTTAAACAAATGCTCGTCCTCGAGCGTACCTAGAGTTGTACTAGAAGCCAACCAATAGCTGAATGACCTTACCAAGCATACACCCGGGGTGATCCCACGTCACCCTATCTCGCATAGGTCCGATAATACAACATAGCTGAAATCTCACAATTCGTCTAGTCCATAAACCGTAGAACCACATTGCACTTTCCGAAATCATACGCAAGATCAGAACCTCACATCTATATTCAGAATAAGCCCGAACCAGCTGTAATAACCCATTCCTGCAACCTCAGGTGCAATCATATGATATACTACATAACCCAAACACTCGAAACGATAACTTCTATTCACAGCAGTTGCCCACAACACCCGAATACCGGTAGAAAATCTCTTATCTACTAAGGTCTTATTCCAACACTTTCATATACTGCCAACGATAAATGAAACACACAATAAAGCGTAACCATTTCTCAGATCAACCATTCATGAAGCCACTTCCCTATTGACTAATACCACAGCAGATTCCGAGCCGAACCTCGATATTATCCTTCCAACAAGCTGAAATCAAATCCGTTCGTATTCATTAGTGACCCCAACGATCGTCTCGAATCCAACACACCACTCTGGTGATATGACACCTCAATACAGACCTAAGCCACAACTTGCATAATACGCGCACCAATAAGAAACGATCTGAATATACTCACCTCATGAAAATGACTCAAACGAAAGAGCTGTACCTCAAGCTCATCAATACCATCACCACACAAGGCTGAGACCCCGTCTCACATCATAGAAATAGAACACCTGAATCTACCCCGAAAGGTCATAACCAATACTCCATTTACCGAGCAACACCCAATTACTCTTCCCGCTCGACTTTCACTATGAATCCCCAATAGAACCGCACCACATGTTCCCATAACCAACAAATCATAACGTCTCACAATACCGAAAAGCAACTCATAGACCTCCCCAGATCATTAACACGCTCACTAACGATCGAATCAACCTATCCCCTAACAATAAAATTTTGGGGCCAACCAAGCCGACTCAAGCTAAACAAGTATCCACATCGGCCTACCAACGAACTTATTACCAAGAAGCCTGAAGCTGCTCCTTCCACTACTATAACTCCTACCGGAGCCGTACGATACGTGCCCGGCACCAAATCAATACCGAAATCCACAACCTCGCCCGGCGACATGCCCGGCCACAAGAAACGCATCCGAAAAGTCCCTCAATATCGAAACTGAACCAATGGTAGAAACCTGTGCACTGACATCCGTCACGAAGGCCCAATTAAGAAAAGCAGTCCTTCCCAGCCGTCCGCCGGTCTTTGGAATACAAACCACTCTGCTAGAACAAAATCCGATGCACCTCGCCACGCAACCCATGGCATTTTCTGGCATAGCCCATAGCACAATAGTCTAGAATAACCCAGCACTGAGACAACCAGTCTACACCCCAATATCATATCCAAAATCTAATATACCAAGCAAAGAAAGATCCACTTGGGCCTCCAAATCCCAACAGCCGCTAAACGGTGCCGATACACACGCTCCACAACCACTACATAGGCTGTACATGCGAACTTCCAGTCTCCACTCCATATAGCACACGAATCACCATGCCTGATCCCAAATTCCGCAGTATGAATACATATCACACCTCGAGTACCCAATCATTCCACGAAAGATATTCTAAAATTCCCCTGTGCCATCCCACAAACTCAGATATCAACAGTCGATCTAACAAGAAAATGCCGCAACACTACCGAAGTATCATCAGTCTAATCACATTACCCTTTTTCCGAGACATATACTTTCGTCAAATCACTTCCAATTAGCAGTCCTTGATTACCTGAGGCTACCCGTTGCCTACGAATTTTATGACTCCCAATTCCATTTGCACAAGCTAAACTGCCAGGACTGAATCCTTCTAACCAAACCAAGCTAAGCAAGCTGTCAAAACTCAAGAGCTTTGCTGCACAATACCTGTAAGGGCTCATTGTCTCGAACACATACGAAAAATTAACCATATCCATACCACACCGATTCGGTCTACTATCAAGCTATCCCATCTATCCAATTTCCCTTCTGATTCATCATCAACTTGATATTCCCTCTTGCTGTAGCACCACAGTTCCTCAACCCAGGCTCACTACACGAGACCCAAGCATAAGACCACACTGTCTAAGACCCATAAGCCACTGAATACTCTCTCAAATATTCCCAGAAATACCACATTCCAGAATACTTTACTCTGAAGAACTTCCTGCGGATCTAAATTCGTTACCTTTACTTTCCAGATACCG